TATCACATGAGGATCTCCAGTGTCTTCCTTATACACCTAGCTCCTATGGCTGTAGACAAATACTGGATAATTTAAAAAAGAAGAAAGTCAATGAAAGAGATCAAACTTCTCCTTTTCACTCTTTCAAGCTATTAAATTCTAAGGCTAACAATACTCAGACCATCAAGGATGTGCCTGTAAGAGAAGATGAGAGAAGAGGAGCTTCTCAGGCTTCAGGTCTCCTACAGCAACAAAAGCAACTGTGTGCACTGCACAGAGGCAGTTTTTGAGACTCTCAATGAGAAAACTGACCAACTTATGACTACCAACCCAACAAACATGGAGCTGCAATCAGTAGCTGAAAATGGTCCTTTTCTTGACAAGATAAACTGTCTTCTGAACTATCTGGTGCCATAGTAGGACTTCTGTAGGGGTCCACTAACTTTTTAAGCTATCTTGGGTGTTATTGCATACAAACAACATCAAACAACAACTTTCCTATCTGCAGTTTCAATGTGCCCAAGTGTTCAAGACTGAGAGGAAAAATTAAGTCTTGAATAGTGTTGTCCACGGTGAACTTGAAATGGCAAGACTGCCAAGCAGAAATCACCAACTTATATTGTAGGACAAAATAAATAAAAATCCCCAAACATTTCAGATATAAAAATCTCACCCACCACATCTTCTTATATTTGTATAAGCACACTTGTTTAGTTCGRGAAGTGAGCTCCCTGGATACTTGATGCAAGAATTGTGTACGAGAAGGGAAAGTGGCAAACAAAGTATGCGGACAAAGCAAAGACATCAATTCCAAAGGAAAAAACCTGCCCCAAAAGAGAAATGTCTTTGATTTCAGCAAGAGCTGGCTTCAGTTATAACAAAAAGACACATAATCAGGATTTAAATGTGATTGACTTCCACATGAAGCCTTTTGAGAATGAAAAACTATGCTCTCAGACCCRCTCCTCAGCTCACACAAACCACCCTCCCTTCGCCCTCCTACCTGGCTGCTGCCATCAAAGGTGCAAGTGAGTAATGGTTCCAGTCAAAGCAATTTGGTTCACTACTCCAGCAAATATGGCTGTTAACTCTCTCTTCCACCTATTTGGAAAACAAATATTAAAGATTTTTAAGGACTGTGATCAATCCAGCCTGCTGTTTGATTTTATAACCTAATTAACATTATGGTGTCAGCTACATCAATAGTTGAAAGAACTTCAGAGATTCGGTGACAGTCCTCCTTGCTGCCTTCAGAGCAACTTGGCACCAGCAATCAGTGGCTCCTCTGTGGTTTCCAGCTTGCTGTGGGCTAGAATACATGTCAACTAATACATGCCAAATTGAAAGTAACAGCCATACAAGACCAGTAGGTGCATACAACGATGTATTTTCAAACATAATTTATACAAAACGCACGGCAAACACAAAGCATTAAGTGTCTTTAGTCAAAGACAAAAACATGGTCTCTTTACACTTAGGCCTTGCCATTCCAAATGTTCTGTCTAATTTCTATCTACTTTTGAAAACATYAAGCCCAAATCCTAATTTAAGAGAGCATACTTTTTAAGTAAAATGCACTTTCCTGTTATTGAACCAGAGAAATGTGATTGTCTTTCATTCTGCTTCTTTCCGATTCAGCACTGTGCTTTAAAAGTGAGATCACCTCTAGGAATTCCCTTTCCCATCGCTAGTCTGTTTTAGAAAATAAGTTATTAGCATATGCTGTGAAAAACAGTCATAATCCTTACATCTCTCTTTACCCGTGATGGCACTCTGGGAAAGACCACAAAGAAAGCACCTTGTGCATACAAAAGACCTGCTGTGGGCGTGTGTGCAGGAGTAAATATGCATCCAAGGCACAGAGCACCAGGAGATTTGTTCATTAATGTGTCAGACACATCAGACAGCCACAGACTGCCCCGTTTACACCTGCAGGGAGTGCGTTATTGAATACCCTTAACCACTCGGAACTGGAGGCTCATATCTAATTTGTGCACAGCAGAGTGGACTGAAACATCCACCTTGTTCATACTGAGGCAGCAAACCTTCAGTRATCTTCCAGGGACAACATGCTCCAATGGGCCTGGCTGTTCTGATTTTGCCAAGACCAATGCAAACACACAGACAACCACAGCACATGTTTTGCTCAGGGCGCTTTGTTTCATGCTTCCCTGTGTGCTTGAACGTCCACATGTGAGATGCCGGGTGATGTGACAGGGATAGGCAACAAGTGTGAGCACCCCAGGGGTGCACAGGGTCCCACAAGAAGTGCAGCTCATGTCTCCCATCYTGTTGCTCTCTTGCCCTGGCTGTGTCACTGGCCCTGGCTGGCTGCAGCTCAGGAGATCAGGTCACCACCGCAGAAGAAGGAACGTGACCCTCAAGGGCTTACACAAGTCATGGCAGAGGAGCATGCCAGAGGAAAACCTCAAACTTAGCMCACCAAACTTGCAAATTTGTGCCTGTGGCTTGACCATACCAGCCCTGAAGYCAACAGCAAACTTCYCYCTGCTTCCTGCAAGGGCRAGAGCGGCACACRCTGCCCCTTACACAGGGAAAGCCCRTCCTCCATGGGGTGGGTGACACRTGGCTCTTCCACYGCTGGCAGAGCACAGATGYGAGCTGGTGGAAACAGGGTGCCAAAAGCTGAAAGGCCAAGCAGGCCCAGAACCGGCGAGCAGGAAAATGGACATGCTTACGCTTTTTGTCCCTGCAGTGTTTGCTACTAGCTAGAAAAACAAACAGCACGTGATAATGTGTTACTGACCAACAATGTCAACAGCAGTCTATATGGGCATCTGAATATAGGCAATAACACACGCTATGGCTGCAGCCCCTGGTGCTTTACCACACCAATCTACAGCTTTCTAGGAAATTATCTGGGTGTGAAGCCAGGAGCCACTTTTGAACCTTTGAACAGACAGGGCCCAATACAGTTTTAATCTGCTGGTGAAACCTTGGCACGGCTCTACTCAAGGGCAAAACTCTGTTTTTAGCAGGGTCAGTATTTCAATCACTGCTTTTACAGCTGACCTGAAAAATGTCCCAGCCAAAATAGCAAAGCAAAGCAACAAAGAAGTCATGAGTCCTTACTCTCCCATCCTTCAGTAGGACCTAGGAGTGCTCTGAATTGTAGCATCCTCTCCCTGGTGGGGCATGGATGCCTTCCAGCTCTAAAGCAGTTTTCACAGTGCTTCCACAGACCTAACTGGTTTTAGTGATGCTGGCTACACYGGCACATGGTTATTTTTAATTAACATGCATCATGAACTTGTTCATGCAATCTGCAACCTAAAGACAAGGGTCTTTATTCTCATTTACACTCAATCCTGTCTATAGCACCCTGGCAGAAGCAGAGGGGMCTTTCATGAAAAGAGAATAAAGCCATAAGTGAAAGATGTCATTTATGGAACAAAATCACACTACTGCTGCTCCAGCTTCATAGAGGGTGTTAAAATTGAAATCCATGAGGAACACCATGTTCTATTTTCCCCTAATTTATTTTAGCTCCTAACTGATGGGAGCCAATGTCTTCCCTCTTGCTGTGGTAACCTCAATGTCTTCAACATTGTTCCTCAAAGAATACTCTAGCCTCTGATTCATTCATGCAGGCTGGATCAGTTTCGGAGTCTTTAAGAAGCTTAATCATTACTTTCAAGGAGGCAAAATATTACCCAAAGCAAGATCTGGTTGATGACCAGTAAGATTGTGTCCTGGCAGTAGTAGATGTCCTACCATCTCACAGCAGCACTGGCTCTAGCAAACAGGACATGGTCTGAAGGAACAGCCAACCTGTAGAGTCTCTAACAAGCCTAGATAATACATGTGTCACCAAACAGAGTTTTTCTGCCTAACTAAAGCTCCCAGAGTTACTGTTTTGACAGCAAAACCAGGAACTTTAAAATTGTTTTAATCACTGCATTAGTAAAAATACGAGTGATCCTTTGTCCCTCTGCAGCAGAAATAAACRACTGTGCCTCCAATGCCTGCCCACCAGAGAGACAGCATTGCAACCACGACTGGTGAGCATTTTCTAGTATTTCTGGTATTTCTAGAATTGCTAGGTCTCTTCTTCCAACTAACAAATGATTGGACAAAGGGAAATGACCTCAAGTTCCATCAGAGGAGGTTTAGATTGGATACTACGAAAAACTTCTTTATGGCAAAAGTTGTCAAGCATTGGATCGGCTTGCCCAGGGCAGTGGTTGAGTCACCATCCCTGGAGGTATTTAAATGACTTGTAGATGTGGCACTTGGGGACATGGCTTAGCTGTGGATTTGGCAGTGCTGGGTTAAGAGCTGGACTTCCAGCCTAAATGATTCTGTGATGGTCACAYTGATTCTCTTTGGTCATAGCTGGTCATGACTCTCCTCATGCGCTGCAGCTGCTTGCCAGCCACTTGGACCATGAATAGACAAGCTCATCAGAASGGCAACAAGAGTATGGAAAACACAGCATGTCTCACTGCTTGGAAAAATCTTTTTCAATTTGAACTTTGCATCTCAGRTGCTATGGGAATAGCCTTTTACACCTGGAAACCTGGGACCTGGAAAAACAGGCAGAAGTGCTCTGATAATGACTCTTACACCATCTGCTTTTGAAAGACTGCTAGCAGCCTCAGCAACCTCTGTAATAATTTTCTGGCTGTAAAACTACACCTTCASTGGTGAAACAAAAATGTAACAGACACATCAGCATCATCTGACCACAAGGATTAWTTCATTTCATGGATCAACAACAAGGACTTTGTTTTATATTACTTGCTATATATTTGTTACACTGACGCTGTAAGGTCAGTTGAAGGTAGGGGGTTGACAGGGAGATTCCTGYACACCTTCCAAAGTAAAAAAAAGTCAGAAATCTCACGGATATTTCAGAAACTAAAATTTTAGGGAAGCAATATTTTACTCCTAATTATTCTAAGATTCTAAAATAGTACGGTAAGCAGGTGAAATTGCTTCAAGAGTACAAAGGGCAAACAGAGCCATGCCTGTGTTACTCYCTCACTGGCTTGCAGCAGACAGCATTCCAGCACAAACTGCAACTTAGCATGGTCTGGGAATTTGCCTAAAGCCTCAGTTTGACCAGGTCAGTAAGAAAGCCAGGTACCATTAAATTGCAGCCAGGTTCCAGGATTAGATAGAATAATTTGTACTAAACAAGGGGCAGCCAATATGGGTAGAAAAATGTGCACATTTCTGCTGTGCATCACCAAACAACTTGAATTCATGACTGGTAACTCAAAACAGTGGCGCTACATGCAAATCTCCCACTCCAAACCATCTTGGATGAGTTCTCTCTTTATAAATGTTTTCTCACTTTATGCAATCAATTGACCATAAAAGCCTCTGTACTGTAATATGTAGAGAGTGTGAAGCCAGTCTGTGTGGATTTTCTAATGCTCTTTTTGCTCCTTTTCTCCTTTTCAAACACAAATGGTCCATAGAACTCTGTGAATTACGGTTGGTAATGGGAGAAATAAGAAGTCTAAAATTTGCTCGATTGCAGCTATGATGCATTAAGCTCCAGGCATCAATCTCAATTGCAGCACTTTTTCTCCAAATGGGCAATATTTTACAGTTATCACTCTCTAAACAAAACACAATTTATTATTCACACAATTCGATAGCTACAGCAGCCAAGACTAGGAGCAAAAGAGYCTTCAGACATGAGGAAGGTAAAAGCAATGTCATACTTTAAATTGACTTCATATGATCAATGCCAGAAGACAATCATCTGTAAAATTATGTTCATGCCCTGATCAAATGCAATCATACCCTATGCAATTGAATTTGGAAAAAGTGAAAGAAAATTATTCCCATTGCTTTACTGGTGTTGTTAATGTGTTCACAAAATAATCTTTGAATAGATTAATTAAAATATTTACAGCAACTCTACCTTTGCCCTCTTAGTTCCAGGTCATTCTGGTAGCTCTGAATACTGCAGAAATATGTTTACCTACAACCAGTTTGATGAAATTAGTGGAACAAATCTTGACCTATTTCCAAAGTTAAAGGTATATAATTTATTTTTTGAATCAAATGTTTCTATGCTGCAAACATTTTTGTCTTCATTATTAAAACAGCAAGAGATTTGAAGC